TGCCAGCGGGCAGCACAGCATTTTTTGCAAGCGTTCGGCAAATAATTTCTTTCAGCGAGCGCTGGCCAAACTTTCAGCAAGGCTCGGACACTTTTTAGGCATTTTCGGGCGTACGTCGAGCACAGGTAAGACTCTGTGTGGCAGAGGTGTCACCGTTGGTTTAATTACTCAAGTTTGAGGTACTTTCTCTCAGCGGAGAGTACCTGGGGATTGCGCGGTCCTCCACAAAGGACCGCGCGGCCACCGAAATTTTTGCATATTCTCGCGGAAAGTCCGCGAGAATGCGGCCGCTGCGCTGCAGCTAATCCATAAAGAAACCGCGATTGTTCTTCAAGCATTCGTCTTTAATTTCGCCAACTTTCTTCCAAATTTCTGCAAGCGGGTGGCAAAAAATCAACGAACTATTTTTCCGGTGCGCGCTTGCTCAAAATTCGCATGGCCGCCTGCCCCCGGCGGTTATCTGAGTTATTGCAAAGCGCTAGCACCATGTTCAAGCGTAACTCAGACAATCGCCGGAGGCAGGCGGTCCGCAAACTCGCGCTTTTCTGCAAGCGGTCAGCAGAATTTTGGGGCGTGGTCAAACCTTCAGCGGGAGCGCTTCCTTTACTGTCTGATGTTCTGCCAGCGGGCAGCAACACAGAATTTTCTGCAGGCGCTCGTCAAATAATCTTTTTCAGCGAGCGCTGGTCAAATTTTTAGCTGGCGCTCGGACGGTTTTTGAGCAGTTTCGGGCGTACGCCGAGCAAAGATGAGACTCTACATGACAGAGGTGTCAACGATGGTTTAATTACTCAAGTTTAAGGTACTTTCTCTCAGCGGAAAGTACCTGAGGGCTGCGCGGTCCTCCACAAAGGACCGTGCGGCCCCCGAAATTTTTGCATATTCTCTCGGAAAGTCCGCGAGAATGAGGCCTTTGCGCCGCAGCTAATCTGTAAGGAAACCGCGATTGTTTTCCAAGCATTCACCTAAAATTTCGCTAAAATTCTTCCAAATATCTGCAAGCGGACCGCAAGAAATCAGCGAACTATTTTCCGGTGCCCGCTTGCCCAAAAATCGCATGGCCGCCTGCCCCTGGCGATTATCTGAGAATGGGCATTTTGTCGATCAAAGTCTCCCCAAGACTCAAGACCTGCTTTTGTAGTAAGTAGCAATGTAGATGTATTAGGTTGTAACAGAATTAATGCAGGTTTTCCAAATTTTGAGTTTGGATTACTATAACTTCTTACAGAAATAGTCAATCCGTTTATAGAAATTACTGCAATCAGCAAACCTTTGGCAATCTGACACGCACCACCTTATCGTTGTAGCTTTATTGAGGAAATTTCATAGCCCGAAGACTGCCAAAAGTTTTCTCGAAAAACCTTCACTTTGAGAGACCATAACTCACTACACAATGAAGTGGAATGGTACAAACTTCATTCAATGTTCAGATAATAGTCGGTTGTACGACAGCGTTGAAGTTGATTTTTACGAAAAAAATTTTGCTAGAAAATATTGCAAAAAATTTGTAATCACTCATTCTTCACAAGTGCTCTCAAAAGACGAAGAGGTGCTTTTTTTGCGGTTTTTTTTTGAATTTTCCGCCGCCAAAGAGAATAACATCTCCCAGTTTTTTTGCTATCATGTGTCCTATGTCTATTCTTTCTGCGCACGGCGAAAGCTCTGCAATTGCTTTGCATCTAGGTTTTTTATACGCTGCAGAATGATAGCAGCAGTTGTTTGGGTTTGAAACAAAATTTCTCAGCCTGGAAACTTCCCGGAAATTTGCTTCAATGTGCATTTTGTAGCAGAGATCACATACAAACTTTCCGCCATTTTGCAAAAGATTCCGAGTTTTTGCGATGGATTTAGAGCAAAGAGTGTAAAAGGAAAAAATTTCAAGGTTTAGTCTCTTGATTTCAAAAGCATGTAATTTCGAAATGAACGCAGTTCTCCTGAAACGAAAACGTGTCTAAGAAACTAGAAGAAGAGTGCTTTCAGTATTCATAGTTTTCTAAGACAATGAAATTTTATTTTAAACGCAAACTTTGAGAAAGAGGTGTGAAAAAACACATTAATTCTGTTACAACCTAATAGCTATAACAGAGACGATCCGGCCTTCCACCAGGGACATCAATGACGAATTGCCAAAAAACCTTGTCCATAAAGTCCGTAGCAATCCGAAACAAGCCAAAGTGGCTTCTAGGCATCGCCATGCTTTGCGTCACCTCTACTGAATATCATAGGAAGTTCAACTTGGACCTGTTCGCTCCACTCTCATTTTCTTCTCCCGTCCGTGCTTCACACGCGCAAAAGCATAACAGTAATTTAAGTTTTAGTTAATCTTAGTTTTGTAGGTTTTGGTAGTACAGACCTTTATAGCTAGTAGGTATGATAGAATTTGCCTATGTATTGTCCACATGAAATCATATTTTGGAATTGTCTGGGCTAAATTCGACGCTCTAAGAGATGAATACATGTTACGGCACTGCTATGCCTCAAAAATTTTTGTCAGAAAAGGCAATCGCCAAAGATTCGTTCATTTGTAAAGTAAGAAATCTCTTAATGCTTCAATAACTTTAGCCGTTTCCTACACAAAACATAATGAAAAGTTTCATAATCAAGATTTAGGTCCTACTACACAATGTCTTATCAGGAAAATCTATAGTTTTTTTTCGCTGTTCTTCGACAGAGCTTTTTCATTCACACCTACTGGCTTGGGGCTACAAAACAACTAATTGTCAGACATACTAGGAAACTTCAAAGGGAGATACCAATGATTCATCAAAAATTAATTTTCGAGAAAAATTTCTCCGCTTTCTATCCATATTCTGCCTGCTTTTGATACTAGCACCAGTGTGTGCGTTAAGATGCTGAAGCTTACTGCATCTGATATTCTGTGATGCATTCAAGAATATACAGTGACAAAGTTGTAGTTCGTCAAATTGGGAATTTGCAGACCACTCATTATTTTTGCACAAACCTAATCAGATAAGTTCAAATCCCCGGCTCTCCGCTCAGCTACAGTACCAGAATTTTGCGATGATGGCGCAACCCTGCAAGCGCGCGTGCCCAAAAGACAACATGCCCTTAAAGCAGACCCTAGGATCTCATATCTGTTATCAATAGTTCAATAATTATACTATCCCAACCGAAAGACTTTTGTTTCAATAGTCGTTGATTGTTATTAACCGGGTTTTTTTCGTTTATCCATTTTTCTCTTTGTGATCATCTCAAGCAGCTTGTCGTAGTCATTTTACGAAGTCGAGGGAGATTTTCGCTACCAGGATTCTAGAGAACCACCTCTTGTGAGCCCTGCTCCTAATCAAAGTGTCCCACATCGAAAAGTGGTCCACCCGGGATACTTTTTGTCTGCCTTTACAGTCAACTCAGTTTAGACGGACGCTAGGCTGACACGGTCCGTCACACAAGTTTTGCGCCATATCGCAACGGATTGGGTCAGGCTGTGCGACGTACGCCCCATATCTCTATGTACGCGTGCGTACGCTGCGTAGTCTGGTTCAACCCAACAAAATTATATTGTATCTGCTAAGAAGCTATGCCTACATCTCTTCTTTCTCTTCTGTCTTTGCTTGGCAAATTGTCAGCGCTATGTGCTCGCAAAAGCTCCCGCGATGCGGACGCGACGCTCCACAATGAAATGTTTTGCTTACTTCGGATTGATACAGACTGTATAGCAGTCAAAGTGCGGCTTATACATCTAGAGTATGGATTACGATTATCTGATTACCGTGGTCTGTTTTGAGAGTATTTATGATCTTCAATGCAACGGCCAGTCGAGAAAGTTTCAATTGTCATTGAGTACAAGCAGCAGCCAAGCGATGACGCAAGCTTTTCAGCTGCGTTATTGGGCAGTATAGCTGTTTACCAAACGCCATCTGTTACTTTACTGGCATCGGTAGTAAAGATTCAGCTGTTTAGCCGTTCAGACATGCATGCTGGGTCGTATAGTTTTTCAGTATTCTTGAACTCGTCTACATTTCCACAATTACAGGTGCTTTGAATAGATGAGAATTTCATGAATCAGATGCGTTTTTCTAAAGCCCAACTTTACAAAAAACTCCGAGGTCTCGATTGAGGCATGTAAACATCCGTTTATTCTGCGTCAATTCAAAGAACGCGGAAACATGTAGCCCATTTCTTGTCTAGTCTTCTTTGTCATATATCACCAGTATTGTATCACCATCAATTATGATTGGAGAGGAAATTGATATTTCCCCTGTCTAAACTCAACTTTGCAAAGAAAAGCTTGCAGAAATTAAAAATAGCCGAAAGTATTCATGTTGAAATCAAATGCGAAAGAACTGAAGAGCCTTTGGGCAAACATGACTTTAGCCTTTCAAGGAAATTGGAATGATTTGAACATAAATGACTGTCAAAAAGCAAAAAGAAAAGCTCAAAATTACTGGGAATGAAAAATGTGTCCCGTATGTAAAAGTTTCTGCAGTAGCAAACTTAGCCTTTCAGCGAATAAGCTATGATTATCCTCATCGCTGGGTGGATTTTCTATTCTCCTCCGCAAATGTCAGATTTTGAGTTCTTCTAAGAATTAGTGTCATCGGATCACAAAGCATAAAAATCAGTTTCAGCTAACGAAAAGTAAATTTTGAGAATTATAATTTTACAAATTTGCGTGCGAAAAAGGGAATTTGACCCTTGACACAACCTCGAATTTAAACATTTCCCACAAAATCTCATGTTATTTATTCTCTCCCACGCCTCATGAGCCTAACTGACGTGGGCCATCAAAATTTAGCTATTTTATTATCCCACGTCAACGCCTCTCGGTTTTCCCTGAGGTGGATGCCGCTCCGCCCCAAACGCCTTTTCACTTTAGTAGACGAGTTGACGATCGAGATCGCTATTCTCACCACCTGCAACGGATTAGTATCACTTATTTCCGTTCGCTCTGCTATTGTTTATCGAAATGTCATTTGCTGTCGCCGGAAGCAAAGCATCTGACTCGTAATAATGTTTGCTAAAGTTATCTATGTTATAGGATGCTCTGGCTGATCGCGACAGCCGTATTCAGTTCAACACGGGCATTTTCGGTGAGTGGAAGTTGAGATTTCTTGAATTTCACTCAAACGCTGCTATCGGGTAACCTTGGCCGTGGTCATCCACTTAAGCTCTATGTCAGAAAAGTCCGACATACGATTTTCATTCCTCTGAGTAGTGAAGAATACAAAAATGAAAAATTAAAAAAAAAATAGTGCCCTTGAGTTAGATTTTGATCGAAAATGCCTTGACGTCGAGGTGGTCTTTTTTTGAAAATCAAAGAAGACTTCAATGTTCCTTTTCGCATAGAAAAGAAAAAATATTCTGAGAAAAATTGTGTTTCTTTGCTTGAGAAGGTGGATGAGATCACTACATTTTCTTCAATGTTCTGATTCTTTAACTCGTTGATTTCTCTTATAAGCAAAAATTCCAAGAATTTTTTTTATTATTCTTGATGCATTCATTGACCTTGCAAACTTTCGAGGATCTGCCTTTGTAAAAATATAATAATTGTTATATCAAGAGAAGTTTAAACTTTCAAAAGTGAGATAAATTAGATCAAGTTTTTCCCCGTGATAATTTCCATTTTCGTGTTTGTTAGGAAGCTGTAAACAACTTGATAATTTCTAGCCAAAAAAATCAAAGAAACTACATGTTCTGAGGCAGGGCCCAGCATGAGGTGGCATATAAAAAATTCAAAAACGAACTCCACCTTGACATCGCAAAAAAATACGAGATGCCTTGTAGCGTTTGTGGAAGCACTTCTGAATTTGCAATGAAAAAATTTAAAGAAGAAAAGAAAAGAATATCAAAAATTGAAAAGCAAAATGCGGAAAAAGGTTGTTTTTATATCATCAAAAGCCATAAGAAAGCATAGGGGACGGAACTTGGGTTGGGATGAGACGCATAGGTAGAAGTTGATATAAAGGATAGATTTAGTAAAAAAATATTAAAATTTTATGTGAGAAAAGGGGAGATTTGCGTAGATTCATGATTCTGTCCAGTCCCGCGCAATCTCCGTGTGCTCCAGTGGCCGTATTCATCAACGAAAACCCAGTGGGTTCCGAAACCCAGTTTAGTGCTTTTGATGAATATCGATGTAGAATCGATATTCATCAAAACCACTAAATGGGTTTCGGAACCCACTGGGTTGTTCGTTGATGAATACGGCCACAGGTTGCGCGGGAGAGCAACCTAGAACCGAAAAACACTTACGACTCCATTCATTCACATGATTATTTCATGAATTTTCGTACATTTCTTTTGAGCATCGACGCGGATGTACAGACTAAATTTGGAGGCTCAATATTGCTTACTCGTCGTAAGCAAACCGTTTGCTTATGTTTTTGTGCGCAAAGATTGTGTTCTGATATGTCCAAACGTGTGTACACATGTGCAGTAGTCGTGTTTGTAACGTGTTAATGTTCCTGTATCTGGTAAAATTGCGTTAGAGATCTTCAAATTCGGTCTTGCTAAGAGTTAGAGATGTGTTTTCTCCTATTTTGTCAGGTTTTCCGATAAAAACTTCAAGGGTTCCCCTTGCTTTCTGCTAAAAAAAAACAGCATCCACCGTGTGAAAGCGCCACCTCTTCTAAGCCCTGTTGTGAGGATTACTTGATAAAAAGAAACAGTGAGTATTTATCATATACTTTCAACCCTACTCGAGTGCTACTAAAGATTTGCTCCGAATGACTCGATAATCCCAGTTTAGTAGAGTATTAGTCATTTAGCCAAGTGCAGAACTTACGCATTTGCACCTTATTGCCCTACTGGTTACGGTGTTTGAGCAAGCCTTATGCACTTATACTGTACTACGCGTCATAAAGCAGATTTGTCGCCTATGACGTGCTAAGTACTACGAGCTGCGACTCCAGGAATAATCTCTTTGCCGCTAAATCATTCATCAGAGATCACATGCTATATACAGGACAGATTCATCGTGCGAAAAATAACGTTTTCAAAAGAGTTCTTGACATAAAAGAGAGTGACGTCAGAGTATCAGTGGAGTCAACCTACGTTATACCAAAAAGCTTTTAGGGCTTCTCGCTTTCCAGAATCTTCCTAGTACTATCAAAAGCAGTTAGATGATCTTTTCCCCCTCATCGTTTTGCACGATAACCTTTTTCCGCAGGCTTACTTATAGAAAGGTGTTTTTTGGTTGCAACATTACGTCATTTCCACACCACAGTTTATGACTGTGACACCTCCTGCAAAATATAACTAACGTTAAATTGAATTTGAACTGAATCAATATTTCTACATATGCGCACACAAGCGCGGTCTTTTTCTCTCATTTCAAAGTCGAATTTAAGTCAATACTGACTATGAGAGGATAAATATCAGCTCATGAACGCTGCCTTACAACTTTTAGAACCATCTATTCACTCACATATTGTTAGTAACGGAAGACGGCATATGTGGCTGTTGAGCAGACTGGATATCATATTAGGACCAAAGGAAAGGGGGTATCGTTTTCGAGGCCGAAAAGTTACGAAAATCGTGAAGTTTTTTTTAAGTCGACGTTTAGTTTTTTCAGGGTTTCTTAGAATTAGGTTTAGGGTCAAAGGGAACTTCGTTTTTGCATATACCAAAAGCCATCTCGTGCTGAGTCTGGTTAGTAATGCACCTTTAGAAAAGTATCTGAAACATGTAGGAGCATAAGCACGCTCGAATAACTCAATTCTTTCTCAGATTCAGACGATTTTCAACTAACTCGTCTTTTTCAGAAGTTTAGAATTATTTCAGTTGTCTGCAAATGAAACAAGTCGCCTGCATAATTTTATAAATAACTCATGACGACAATTAGAGATTTTGCAACCCATGCCCCGAGAAAGCGCTATTGCCTGGAAGTGCGCACAAAGTTTTTCTTCAACACTGCAAAGCGGTAAACGACCTTTGCAGCTGGTGATTGACAGAGCTGTCCAGTAGCGGAAGGCATACTTTTGAAAGCCGAAGGATAAGGCCTCAAAAGTGAACGTTTTTAAATATGTGCCCTTTCTCCCTTCCCCATATAGGATAAAGATTGTTTGTAAAAAACAGAGAAGAGGAAAAGATGCAACCAAATAGCAAAAGGAGAAGTAACCTTGGAAGAATGGGTAAAAACGCTGCAATGGGTTTGAAAAGTTCATACGGCGGCTCTTGTATTGCAAATTTTCCGCTCACAAGCTTTTTTTGTGATTGATTCCAGTTATCAAGAAGAAGATGAACAAGAAAAAATTCAATGTGATTTCCTTCGTTTTTTACCATAATCGGGCCTCGGCATGAGGGCGGCAAACTTATGCTATCGTATGTGAGGAGAAGGCAAAGAGAGTATGTTATATAGATAATATGTTGTGTTTGCCATGGCGTGTGTAGAAAGACGATTGGAGACCGAGTTCTTTACTTGATGACCAGGAACTAAGAAATTAACTATACTTACTAAGGAATGCCTATATATAGTGCACACAACTATATCAGATATCATAAACAACAGATCAACATATTCGTTCATTCTTCTCAAGCATTGGTTTTTTGTGCGGCTGCACAACACCTCCCCTTCTAAGTGAAGCGGTGGGTCCTTTCCGCGCTGAGAATTGAGTTGACACTTCACCTTCTTAGGTGGCACTTTATGTTTCTCATCAGCCGAGTACAGTGGAATTGGAGCGATATGAACTTCGTATTCATTGAATGTCTCACTAAAGGAGCAGTCATCCAAAGTTGGGCTTGATATATCGCGATAGTGCATGGGAAACTTTTGCACTGCCTCCCCTAACGTCTCCTCCCTTTTCGGCTTGGATACTAGGCACTGGAAGTTGTCGACGATTCTTTCGGCCTGTTCATAGAACTGCTGATGGCGAGTAAGTCGAACTTGTCTGGCTTTTCCGGAATCGCGGATTTCGGCTGTTCTGAATTGAGTAAGACCATAAGAAATAGGTACCTCGGCACTTCCAAATTGGCTGAATTTTGAATGGTTTTGCCGAATATCTTGCTCTCATCCTCTTTTTCGAGCATAAAGGCAGCCGTTGCTTTCGTGCCGTCTTCTCTTTTGTCGAAACACTTTTGCGAACTGTGTTGTCAGGTGAGTTTGCTCCTTGTCAAGTGTATCGTTCGTAGCGGTCACTGCATTCAAATTGTGACAGTCAATATCACTGTGAAAGGTACAGTCGCTCTGGTTCCAGTGTATTTCAAGTAGAGGTGGTCCATCAACGACATTTTTGGTGCCATTCAAGCTAATGCCACTTAACGCATGCTCACATGTGCATTGTCCATGGCATGTAATGCTGGTCCCATTAGCAGCAGTCGAATTATGTTTCGGGTTCTTTAGCTTGTGTCGGCCAGCCTTGATCCATGTGTCGCGATCTTCAGCTCCACAGTCAAGTCGTAACTCGACACTTGTGTTGTTGGTTTTCACATTGCAGTACGACTTCGTTTCTTTAGGCGGTGAGATGACGACAGGATGGACGTCTTTGGCTTCATCGACAAATAGTTTACGTAGACAGTACCTCTCTAGACGTCCACGCTTCTTGCAGTAGTTGCATTCAGTGATCGGCTTCTCGCACTTCCTGGTCCTATGGGTCTTCGCTCCGCAGTTCATACAAAGATGTGCTCTGGGCTTGTGACCGATGAATGGCTTCCGCTTCTCGTCTCGCTGCATCGCGTTGACTTGCGGGTTATCGTTCATCTGATTCACGCTGACCAGAGGTACATTGGCTTTGTCGATCATCTGTATATGATTCTGCAGTTCCAAGTAGTCTGTGTACTCTTTGTTGGATTCTTGCTTCGTCAATTCAGCCATGGGTTCTCGACAAGACTTCCACAGTTTCATGATTTGCTTCACTAGAAGGTGGATCATGTCCGTGTCCGAGCTTGAGTTCGGGTCCTGATCGAATTCTAGTAGACGAGTAGCAAGTGCATTCATCACGTGATCTTCGCTGGATCCTTGTTTCTTCTTCACTTCTTTCCACAGCTCCATAATTTGCAGCATCAGAAAGTGGGTGGGGTCCATGTTGGGGGTCGGGTTCAGGCTCGGGTTCGGGGTCTTATCGCCAGTTGTTGTGTTTGCAATGGCGTGTGT